TGAACTTTAGGTTCAAATCTTTTGTTTCTGCAAGTTTCTTAAACTATATCTTTGAGATTTAATCTTAGTAATTTTTTAACAAATTGGTTTAGTCCATTTACATTTTATTAATATTATAGGCACATTTTATCTCAATTCTATCACATCATGCTGTTTTTAAGTGGGTTGTTGTTTGTCTTAGTCCTAGGGGTCAAACCCAGGACCTCGTGCATACAAGCACTTTATCACTGAGCTACATCCCCAGCCCTTGGTATCTGAGACAGGTCCCACTATGTAGCTCAGGCTGGTGGCCTTGAATCTAATCCTCCTTTCTCCACCTTTTATTTATTACTTTATAGTAAAGTAATAAAGTAAATTATTTATTACTTGTGTAATAAAGTAGTAATGTTCATTTCTTCTAAATGGTCTCTCTTTATTGTTACTGACTTCCCATTATAAACAATGATGACATAAATATACTTCTGTCTTTCCATTCTAACACCAAATTTTAGTTGTTTAAATCATTTTTCTCCAAACTTTAAATATACATAACTCTCTGTTATTTGACTTCTCTGCTTTAAATGATAGTTTCTCCATCTGATAGTCAGTTGAAGTTTATAATCTAGTGTGCTCCTTTTCTCTCTCCTCTCCTCTCCTCTCCTCTCCTCTCCTCCCCTCCCCTCCCCTCCCTCCCTCCCTCCCTCCCCTCCCTCCCTCCCCTCCCCTCCCCTCCCTTCTTTTGCAGAGAGATGCTGAGGATGGAACCCAGGTCCTTGCACATACTAGACAAATGCTCCAACCCTGAGCATCACCCCAACCCTAGCATAGTCCTTTTCAAACTTCAGGCTGTGATCCACTGGTGGGGCTTTGGGATCCATTTAATCTTCATGACCAATATCTCTCAAGAAATGAATTAGAGAACAAGCAGGATGGAAGAAAAATAACTGTGTGTCTTTCATAGTGCTATTTAATATTTCATGGAACTCCTTTCAGTGTAGATATGCATATAGACTGTGAATGTATGATGAGTTCCACATAAAATAAAATGTATTCATGTTGTTTCATAAAATGAAATTTTTGTTACAGTAAAAACAGAAACAAAAAATTTGCAAATAATGCTATAGAAGAGTGTTGATTGGACCTACTTATTGCATGTCTGAAGTATTTGCTTGCTGTCTCTAATTTAAACTGCATGAGACGCTCAGATCACTTTCTTTCACTTAATATGTTGTAACCTTTGCTCTGAGGTGTCCTAGCATTGTTTATTCCTATGGAGGAGTCCAGTACATTAACTTGATCTTCTTTCTTGGATGCCCTAGGATTCCTTTTGTATTTTGAAGGTCATTAGTTTTATCCAGGATGTTATCATGTTCCCCTTTGGACTCTAGAGTCAATTCTTCTTTTGTTTCTGGAAATTTACTTAAATTATATCTTTGATTTTTTTTATTTAATTGTATTGTCTTTAGCAAATACCTGTCATGTATATGTTGTGTATCCTTTGTCTGTTTTACAAAGCCATTTTCTCCTTAATGTTTCTTAACTATTAATTTCCAGTGATTTTGCTTGCTCACTCAATTGCCTTCTCATGTATCATCTTGAGGTTTTGTTAGCAGGTGCTGTTTTCAGCAGAACAGTCACTTCTGTGATATTTTCATTTTCCTCTTCACTTTTGACTTCTGTCAACTTCTGTTGCTTTGTCATGTTTCCTGGGACTCTTCTCTGCTGTGCACAAGTTGATTGTTCTGCCGCGTTTTCTTTTTACATTTTGCCATCGTTTTTACCTACTTAGTAAGTATCGTTCTTCATGTGCTTGTCTTGTTCCTTTTCGCAGTGTTTGTGTATTCTACAAATCTTACATCACTTTTTTGATTATTATTCCTACTTCTCACCTTTGAGTAAAATAAGCTTTTTCTAAAGGATAGCTGCAGGATAGTTAGGGTAGGGCACTGTTTCAGGCTAAAGCAAGTTGGGGAGGGGAGAGAGACAGAGACCGAGCAGCACTCACATTTACAGAACTGGATTGCATTTCAGAACATTTCTTTTCATCTGTTATGTGCTTCAACAAAGATGTTTCTGTGTGGTTCCTGTTGGCACACCTTAGAGTTCACCAGTTACTTGCTGAGAACTGCTCCTATAGGTGTCCGCTGTCTTGCTGTAGTTTCATTGAATCCAGTGACATATGGCAACCCTGCCAGATATTTTGCCATTCAGGGTTTTACATGACTCCTAATCTCATCAAAGACTGAGCTTATTTTTTGTTTCTCAATATCTTTGATATTTAAGGTGATTTCCAAAAGGATAGGAGAGGGATAATCCATTACCCCATTATCTTGAAAGCAGAAATGCTAACTCTCCACCTGTCTTTAGCTCTGACAATAGCGTGTGTACCAGTGATGTGCTCCAAAATCAGACCTGCTTTAGAGATGAGGGACTTGAGGCTTGGGAACTACTGTGATTGAACCAGGGCCATACATGTCAGTGAGAATGAACTGACAGTCTTGAGCAGAATTCACCACACTGAATAGCGTCTTACAAGTACAATGTAAATAAAAGCTCCAGTTGTCCTTTGTGAAGGAGCCTTATTGTTGTGTTGCGTGTAGTTAGAGCTAATTCCATTATGGTGACTTTATTGATGAAGCAGAATTTAAATACCAAACTTAGTTTTAGCCTGCATTGGAAGGACTCTGTAAGGCAAGTCCAAGAGGAGGAAAGGAAAAGGAAAAGATAGTCAACATTTATGCTTGTCCAGACTTGAGCTTTTATGTCATTGTCTCCTTTAGTCTTCACAAACATTCTGAATATTGTTAATCCTGGAGAAACTAAAGCAGAAAAGCCCAAGTATTATCTCAAAGTCACCAGCCAGTAGGCGTTGGTGTTCCAGCTCCAGTGATCTCTCCACTGTGCCCTTTTGGGTTACCAGATTCACTGATCTAACAGCGTCTCAACCACAACTCTGGGTTTCTATAAAGACAAATTCAGAAGATCCACAAAAGGGACTCCTAGACGTTTTGTTTTCCCCCTTTGAAGTCAGGTAATGCTGGTACTTTCTGTGCACTAAGGGGCCACTTCTCCAGCAGCCTTCACAAACACCCAACACTTAACTCCGCATGTTTTCAACCTACAGTTTGTAGCCATTAATTAGTTCCTGTGAGGTAAGCCATTGTTATCTTACAGATGAGGCAGCCAGTATGGAGCAAGTATAGTTTTTCTAAGATCAGCAGTAAGTTCCAAGAGGAAGGGCTGAGACTGGCCCTCTCCATCCCAGGCTTAGCCTGCGACACAGTGACCCTGCTGGAGTGTCAGCAGTCTGACTCCCTTCATCACGTGCTCTGTAAAAACGGTGCTGTTATTCAGTGCATTATAAAACATGATTACTGATGAGACAAAGGATGGTCAAATCAGGGGTTTTATAAATAGGAAGTTGTTTTCAGCAAAGCACTCCAGACTATTTTAGTTAGGAACTGTTAATAACTGTGTTTGCTTTATAAAAAATTACATTGAGAAGAATCATAGAGGGAGAAGCAGCTTCTTTGGGGAAGACACTCAAATGGTAGAAAGTGAACTGTATTACCATTTGTTCTTTTGACTGTAGTTTAAACAAGAAGTATCCCTTTGGACTACAGAAATATATAACCACAGAACATAAAAACCACTTGGAAAAGTAGGTGGAGGAGATAATATGAAATTTGTACACACACACATAGCCTGCCTTAAAAATAAATGTTGATTTTTGAAAACTTTCATTATAGTCTGAAATTTGATCCAGTGGGATCCAAGCATTATTGGAAATTTTATTTTTTTTCTTCAGTGGTATTTTTATAAATTGAAATTTTAGTGTAGCAATATTTTTGGAGTAACATGTGCAAGCAATGAAAGAAAAGAAAGTACATTTAATATGTAGGTATATGTCTCAGCGCCCTTCTCTTTTGTATGTGAAGGCCATTATTTCCAGTGATAACTTTGTTGACAGCAACCACAAATATATTTGGAGCCAGGTTTTATAAAATAGATCCAGAATCATATGACTGAAAGATCTCACTCATGACACGTGTCAGCCCTCAGATAGATTGTACATTTTCTGTTTTAAAGACTCAAACAAAACTTTTCACATTCTTCTTTGAAAAAAAAAAATTACATTTGAAGTCCTTTTTCACCCAAACACATTTGGAGATAAGAGCTCACAAGTCTTGACATTATTTCATTTTGTTATGCGCATCTGTCAAGGAACCAAGATACGATAGAGCTCCTAAAAAGTGATGATTGCGGAACAGAGAAACGTGACAGCGTTTCGTTTCCTCTATGCTCTGATTATACATTTATCAGAAAACCTGTATCTCTTCTAGTTCAGCTAGAAATTGGTAGAATTCAGGAAGTCAAAAGCTTGGCAAAGAACTGTGCTATTATTTGGTATCATCTTACATTTTAGAGAAGTTGCTTGGTTGGGTCATTGTGAAAGCTTTTGCTTCTTTTTCATTATTGTGACTCACCATCCACAGGTCACATTTCTATGGGCTCTATGACTGCTTTGCCGCACAAATTAAACGACGGACAGCTCATACATAGACACCGGCGTTTCAATGCTTGTCAGTCAGTTTATAAAATACAGGGATTACAACCTGATATTAACATCCAAATCTATTGTGCTCATTTTATGTGTGAAAATGAGAAACCCTCATGCAGACGCTAGGTTTCCCAGCCTCTTTGTCGCCCTGGTTTTAATTTATCTCCAGGTTTTGTGTCAGTAAAATGATTTTGCTTATCAATTTAATGGAGTGATAAACTGTATCTGTGAATCTAAGTGATTACATCTAAGGTGGATCTACAGGTTTTTGGGCACTCAGCTGAGGGGATTGGTGGGACTGATTTCTCCTGAGAACATATACATGTCTGTGTTTTAATTACAGCTCAGGGAGCGGTGTGATTTGTTTCACATGAAGAAGTGGACATAGAAATACATTGCTTTGGAGAGGAGGACTTTAAAATTCTTAAACGTTCTTTCTATGCTTGTCTTTTTTTAACAGGTATACTTCAGAAAGAATTATCCAGATATTACTCACACTGACCCAGTGGTTGTGAACACTTCCAATGGACAGCCCTCAGTTTTAACTATTTTTGAGACAGTACTGTGATTCTACTCAAGAACTCAAGTCTGCTCTGAAGGCGTTTTTGCACTGTTTAAACTACATTGTACTTTTTTTTTTTTAACTCCAGCAACAAACATTTACCCATACAGATGTTTATTTGCATTTCCCCCAACTTCATGCCGTGATTTCAAGTTTATTATTTTTATTTAAATGTTATAATTGTTCTTCAAAAATACCAAATCACAGGTGCAGGCCACCAACAAAAGCTGTCTACCAGGTTTTGTGCCTTAACAGACTCTAGAGCCAAAGCCCATTCATTTTGTAAGGAATAGAACAAGATACGTGGATTTCTTTCTCTGTTGCCCCCAAAACTACATACTCAATTCCAGTTCTGGCAGGGATTCTGTTTATTTGAAGACTGTATGAAGTTGCCACATTGACCACTTTCTTTCACTTAACTAGGATTCATTATTTCCCCCTCCAAAGGTCTTTGGTTAAAATAGCACAGGAGCAAACAAAAAATATACTTTAGTTGAAGTGACATAGTGAAGAGAGTCTTACCCCTGCCCCCCAGAAAAAGATATATGGTTTAAAGTATAGAAGGACAGCATTTTATTATATTTAAAAAAAAAAGGAAGAGAAAATTATGCTTTCTCAAGATGGGATCCTTTATAGGTGGTGTGATGATGAAGGACACATGACCATCCCATACCTTTTAAATTTGTCTGACTGGACATGGAGCTGTGTTGCAGTTACAGACTCAGCATGGCGATACTTTCCGAAAAGGCCAACTCTCTGTCTGTAGCTCCTGAAGTACCTAGTGTAATTCTTACTTGGTTTTCTGGTTTGCCAAAGGGAAACCTTCTATTGAATGTAAGTCTTTTGGTTTAGTCGTCCCTGACCTTTTCAAAATTGCATAGATAGGCTGTGCTGATTTAGTGAGAAAACCCGAACATCGTTGCAGACGTAGAGTGTAATTATGTAGTATGTCCTGAGGATGTCAGGACATCCAGACACAGAGCTTTACTTTCGTGAGCCTGTCCAGATTAGTTTACTTCTGACCACTAATTGCAGTTTCTTTAGGTCTTTCTGATTAGTGAATCAACAAACCACAGTACTTCCTAGGACCTGCTGCCCTTCACCTGAACTACAGGTCTTTAGTGTTTCTTGATCATGGTGGCAATGGTATGTTAAGTTCAAGTTACTAAAGGCTTTACTGTCACCATATAAAGTGGATTTTGACCTTTCAGAATAAGGTGTAGCTATCCTCAAATTATATATAATATACACAGGTGCATGTGTCTATATGTACACATACATAAATGCCTACATACAGCAAGTTTGTAGACTCAGTATCAGAGAGAAACAGATGTTTGGTAGAATGAAGCAAAATTTTAAAAAGTACACATACAACAAACTACCAAAACACATTGAGTATAGTGTCTGTTTGACTCTTTGTATTCGGAAGTCTATGTTTAGGCCAATAAATCACGCACACTAAGTTGTTTATTAATAGTTATAGTTAGTATTTCAGGACACTGAAATGACAATGATGATGACAAAGAATGTTTAAACATTTGAAGTGTTTTCAATGTTTTTGTGTTTGTTTGGTCTTTAGAGGTTAAAAGGCAGTCACATAAACATGTTTCATTTCTGTTTTAACGTCATCGTAGGTTTTTTAATGAAACAAACTCAATTGAAATAAATGACAGCGTTCATCTTCATTCAGAGATCTGTATTTTTGTTCTTAGAGGGATTACTGACTCATGTCTTTGCTCATAAAAGCCACTGAGTTTCCTGAGATTAAAAATAAATAAATACCTTCCATTTCAACTTGTTCTGTTGTCTGCCTAAGTATACCAAATATTCCAAGCTGATGCGTGGGTTGCAGACAGACTGAGATAGATGATTGCTGCTGAAGAGGGCCAGTGGCTCCCTTTCCAAGAAGAGCACATTAGCCCAGCTTATGCCCTGGGCTTGAAGAAATATTAAGTGGTTGAAGTTTTTGCCTTCATTTTTAAGGTGACTTTGTCCTAAACTGACAAGAAACATCTATTACTGTTACATTTAAACACTATAGAACAACAGTTCTCAAAATGTGTTCCTTGGGCTAGTGACATCACCCGGGACTTGCTAAAACATCACCATCACCAGTGCCTTATGCAGATCTACTGAGTCAGAAACTCTGGTGGTGGGAATCAATAATCTGCCTTATCAGACAGACCCTGAGCATGACTCTGATGCAAACAAACATCTGCGGACCACAAAGAACTCCTAAAACTCTTTAAGAAAAACACAAAGTCCAATTAGAGGAACGGACAAGAGTCTTGAGTAGGAACTTCACAAAACAGAATATCCAAATGGCTGATAGCTGGCTCTTGTTGGTTCCCAGGGAAATGCAGATTTCCAAGAGAGACCGCTAAACACCCACTGGAATGGCTAAAATTGAAAAGTTTGAGGACACCAATCAGGTGCCAGTGGAGCGACTGGAATGCTCATACATTGCCCTGTGTGTATGAGAATGTTCATTGAAAAGCTATTTTAGAAAAATTTGACAGCACTTACACAAGCTGCGCACCCTGTGATCTGTTAATTCTCCAAATGTGTATGCACATGCACCGAGAGATGCATTTGAGGGTGTTCCTAGAAACATAATTCCTAGCTCAAACTGGAAATAATTGAACTGTTCATCAACAGCCAAAAGAAAATGAGATTGTAGAAGAGAACAATGAAAGCAATCGAACTACATGAACAACACAGATGAATCCCCCATAGTGTTGTCCCAAAGATGTCTGTCCCCAAAGAATATTTGATTCCATTTTTACAAAGTTCAAAAATAGCTTCAACTATATTATAATGTACAAAGGCAGAACAATACTTCAGTTTGGGAGATGGGTGTTGGTAATTGGGAGAAATAAAGGTAGGCTTCTTGCAGGGGTGTGTGTGTGTGTGTGTGTGTATGCTGGGCCGGGTGGTAGTTATATCAATATTCACTTACATTTTACTAAAAGGAAAGAGGAAAGAACCTTTCAGCTGAAATGAAGAAAACTAAGAAAGCTTAACAATTAAAGTCTATCCTGATAGCCATGTTTACAGTCAACCTGGTTTACTCACCAAGTTACCTAATTCTCACATGTTCATTGAAAATTGAGTGTGTTGGTAAAAGGAAATTAAATTCCACTCCATAAATAGTAGAATTAAGCTGAGATCCTGTAATCCTAGCTACTGGGGAAGCTGAGATAGGGAAGATCTCAATTTGAGGCCAGCCAAGGAAAATAGTTCCCAAGGCCCCATTTCAATCAATGCACACCTGTCATTCTAAGCCACACGGGAGACAGATCAGGAGGATCTCAGTTCAATACTTATAGACTCGAGAGAAGAAGCAGAATTGGGCAAAAGGAGAAAACAGAGCTGGAATGTTGCCCAGACAAGCTGAGCCACTCTGAGAAGATAATGGAGCCACAATAGCGTGCAAGGGTTGTTCTGTCATGCAAATTGGCCAGGCCTTCATCTCTCCACCTTCATCAGGCGTTGCGCATTGGCTGCCCCCAGCAGGGCTGAGACAGGTTGCCCACTAGCAGCACATCCACCAGCAGTGGCAACAGGTCCTTGAAGGTGGATCTGAGTGACACATCTCCATGTCTACCACAGTATATGTCACACCCCTTAGAGGTAGGTTATTGAGATGCACAGTGGCACGCCTTTGACAATTGATGTTAAGTCAAAATGATTAAGTGATTGTCCTTAATAACCTGTGGTCTGAAAAACTGAAGAGAAAGTCCACATGGGGAAATATCCTATTTTCTGAGGTCAGCACAGTTTCTCTCTCTTCCAGGAAGCCATCTTAGGATCGTATTCAGACTGGGTGATTCCTATATACTCCCATAATACCCTGAGCACCCCTCATTGACCACAATGAAGCAGACAGGGCCCCTACTTGGAAGAGCCCAGCACTTGGTTAAATGCCCAGCTGTCCTCTTGAAATTCTGAATTTTTAAACAAAGGGTGTTTGTCTAAAGCCTGTCCTGAATATAAGTATTTTTGGTCTGTTTCCTCACTAAAACATGAGCTTCTAAGGATTTGAACCACACCCTGTTCATTTTTAGCACAATGTCACATAGTGACAATAAATGTTTCCTGAATGAGTAATGACTGAGAATAAGCCTGCCTTCTAACCTTTATAAATCTGAATTTAAAGGGGTAGCCTAGATTTGAGGCCAGTCACACAGATCTGGTACCAGTTCTAACTGCCACTCACTAGCAACATAGGGACTAAAGAATTTACTGTTTCTGGGACACTTGACTGAAAAGGAAGTGCTACCAACCCAGCCAAGGTGCCAGGACAACAAGCTGGAACCGTCTTTGATAAAGTGGGAGGTGGTTGCAGTGTAACTGCACAGCCTCACTTGCATGTTTGGGGATTTCTACCTGAGTGAACCTCAGCTTCATCTGTAAAGATCTAGCTCCTGCTCTTGCATACTTACTTTGATTGGGATGATTGATGGATAAAGAACATCCAAGGATACAAAGGATGAAATCCAAAGGTAAAGTATTGATAAAAGGTCCCCTCTTCCACAAAGAGGTAAGCAAGGCAGATGTAGATGCAGGTAGGTTTGTAACTGTAGCAGGTGTATTTGGGAGATCCTCATCTGAAGTCCCAAGCTGAGCTGTGACTGGCCAATTTAAAATGATATAAGCACATGAGTTAGCTCCAGGTCCAAATACTTGCTTCCTTGTGCACTGGCTGCCTGGTTTGTAATCCAAGTTCTACTGCCTGCTAACTGTATGCCCTTAAATCAGAAAGTGTTCTCTGCTTTTAGTTTTTTTCTGTAAAACTGGAATATAGTATTTTTCTCAGGTGGCAGTTGCGAAGATGAAATATAAAGTACTTAAAAGTGACACTCAAATCATTGTCTGTGGGCTAGTGCCAGTCCATAAAGTGTGGCTAATCTCAATGAGTACAAGAATTTCAAAAAAGTGCTTAGAAGCTTCTACAGCCTTTTGACATTGCCATGACGTCAAACTCATGATAGGTGGACTCCTTGTGGTGCAGGCTAGAGGCCAGTTTGAGTGCAAAACCTGCAAGGTGAAGCAAACTGCATTCTAGCCATGCCCAGTAAAA